CGGAGGGGTCAGAACGGATTAACCGTATTTACATTGAACCTTTTGGGAAAATTTGATTCGGTTCGCAACCAATTCGGGTCGCAACCAGAGTCGCGGAACGAATTAAGTTCGTGACCTGAGGTACCACTGTAGTTCCTCTCTTTGCAGGTTGCTCTAGCGATCCTCTCCTCCCCTCTACTATTTTTGCCGCTTTTCTGGTGGTTGCTATTATAATATTGTAATCCAAAACTGAAAGTGTTTCATTTGCAAGGGAGGGAGTAAAAGGCAAGCTTTTCCTCTCTCTTTTTTTTTTTTTTTAGTCTTTCTGTACCCTTAATACTTTCATCTCAAATGACACTCCATAGTTAGAGTCAGCATCACAGTTTGGCTCATATTACCGTTATCTTTTGTTTTCTAAAATCCACCAATTGTCTGCACTCTGCAACAATAAACAAAAGAATTCCCACAAAGGTCCAGTTCATTTGTCTATTTTAATTCCAATTTATTCCAAAGCACTTTCACCAAAAAATAATCTTTCAAAATAATTATCCCCTTTATCCATTTTAAACTTCCTTACATCCACTTCTTGTTAAGCTTTTTGCCAAAAGTTTTTAAATCTTTAAAACCCCCCTTTTTTTCCTTTTTAGTTGAGAAGGAATGTTGACTCATCAAGTGGAATTCTCTTATCCTGCCACTCAGAAAATCTCTCTTTGGCTGTAAATTAATTACATTAAGAAAGTGAGGCTTGGGTGAACTTTGTGTCCATATAGGCTGTATTATGGCTGTGAGTTTGGTTGAAATCCCTTGACTCCCAGCTGCTCAACTCATGAGTGAACTGCAAAAATCTCAGTTCCTACAGTCTACTCATGAGGAGCAGATGTCTGGAGTGCAAGTGGGAGATCTCATGTTCTCTCCTTTATCCAGAAAGACTGCACTGGTCAGAATTCACCATCTGGCTACCAATCTCCACCATAAAGCTATCCTGCTCCTTTAGGGATGTCTAGTCCACCATAGATCCTCACCTGAAAAGTGAAAGAAGTGTGAGAGAGAAGAAATTTTGTTTGAGATTTAGAGCAATTCCACAGGATTCTGGTGAAGATATTAAAGAAAAGGTTATTAAAGCTTTAGCATTTTTTTTTTGGATTGGGATGAAGAGGATACAGAAGCAGAAATTAATAAAGTATATAGAATAAATACAAGATTTGCAAGAATAAGAAATGTTCCAAAGTATGTCTTGGTGCACTTTGTCAGTAAGAAGACAAGAGATCAGGTTTTGTAGCAGTATTTTTATACAAGACTGAAGATTGATAATAGATGTAATTGTTCTTAAAGATTTTTTTTTATTAGAATTTTGCATAAGAGCAAAGAGTATTCTTTTTTGACTGATAGATTAAAGCAGAAAAAGATTCCATTTTGATGGAATAAATAGGAAGGTGTGATTTTTACTTTTAAACAACAGAGTTTTCAACTGAATTCTGTCCAGAAGGCAAGGGAATTTCTAGAAAAATGTAAAGAGGAATTGGAGGAGTTTCAAATGGAGGTATCAGATGAGACTACACAAAAACTTCAACAGGTGCAACAGGAAACTGAAAGGGATGATACTGAACTAGGTGCTACTTGTATCAATTTTTCTAAATTTTTGGCTTGATTGTGGATTACAAATGCTTAATGTGGAATATAAATGGAGAAAATGCTCCTTAAAAGAGAAAAAAAATCATTATTAAAAAAAAGATATAATTTGCCTACAAGAGACACACATAATTTTTTTTAATAAATCAAATATTTTATTTCCTTTTTTCTAAGGACATAAAATATTTGACTTATAAAAAATTGGGTGAAGAATTTATTTCAGCAGGAACTAAAAAAAGAAATGGAGTTGTTTTATACATAAATCCCCAGTTAAAGCCAGAATTTGCATTGACTGATAAGCATAGTAGATTTGTTGGGGTGGAAGTTAATTTGCATGAGACTAAGACTCTGATATTGGGAATTTATGCCCCAAATGAGGATAAAGTACTGTTCTATAAAGAACTTATGGAGAGACTAATAGGTTTCTTTTATGAAAATTGGTGTTTGATGGGGAACTGGAATGGAGTGATCTCCCCACAACTGGATAGAACTTCTGAGAAAAATATTAAAATCACTAAAGGCAAATTACCAAAAGTTTTCTTTGATTTGATGGACAATTTAGGGCTTGTGGACATATGGAGACAGAAAAATGGTAATTCAAGAGAGTACACCTACTTTTTTGAAAGACATAGATTCTTTTCAATAATAGATATGATATGGGATTTTGAAGAATTTGGCTGCTAAGGTTTCTAAAGTAGAGTTATTACCAAATATTTCTTTGGATCATAATCCTGTGAATTTGATTTATAAAAGGAAATCCAGTTCTTTTAGATGGAGACTAAACGAAATGTTGTTACAGAAAGAAGCAATAGGGAAGATTGTAAAAAGAAATTAAAATAATTTTTTGAAAATCATTTAGACAAAGGTACTTATTTAAGAATGGTTCGGGACACAAGTAAAGCTTTTATCAGAGGATATTTTATACAACATAATAGTGAACTCAAAAAGAAGAGGCAAAAGAAGACACAAGCTATTTTGAATCAGATAAAGAGAAAAAAAGAATTAAATAAGTATTAAGCAAGATAAGTATCTCCAGAGAAGATAAATATTTCTCTACATATTAAGCTTTTACAATGACAGTTATCTATGTTAACAGTAAGAGAAATGGAAATCAAAATGAACTATGTAAAGCCAAAAAAAAAAAAACAACTGAGTTTGCAAA